GTGTGTGTGTGTGTGTGAGAGAGTGAGAGTGTTTGAAAGGCAAGGCCCGTTTGAATGATCCTGTACACAGACACGTTTACTTCCTCTGTCGTGGGGCTCGTCTGTGCAGACGCCACGCTTATCAACAAGAGCGCACTCTTCGCCCGTCAGGCCCACCACAACCTCTACAAGACAAACTTCCCGAGGAAGAACCCGATGAAGATGGCGGCGATGACCACCAGCAGCGACGGCAGCGATCTGGAGGCGAGATCTTTGCTCAGCATCGCCACCGAAGACTTGGAGACGGAGCTGTCGAACTGATTGGCCTTCCTCATCCTCAGCCCTTCATCCTGATGAAGAGCGACACACACAGGTGAACACACAATCATCATCAGCGATCCGCAGTCTGGCTGTAGCTATCTCTGAGCATGTTACGCCACCTAGTGCTCAGAGCCCTGCTGTGCAACACTTCCAGTGTGTTCTGATGTCTGCTCAAACTCAAACTCGGGTTTCTGCGGATTATAATTTATAAAATGGCAATGTTTAAAGCTTGAGGGTTTGAAAGTGAAGAATTTAAGACATAAATATCTTATAACTTGTAGTGTAAAAATAATGATGATGAAATACAGTACAATTGTAATTTACTTCAGTAATAGCCTATATTGTAGTCTTCATTTTTATAATTAGAGGTAAAATAGCCATGTATCTCTCAGAAAAAACTACATGTTTGAGCACTTTTAATATTATTGTTTTTTTCTATCACAACTGAAATTCTGTATTATATTTATTAATTTAATTATTTGATTTACATAAATGCTAATTTCTGAGTAAGAATCTGTTACGGTCCATTTTTCTGGTAGACTATAATTCCTATGTTTTGTCGTTGATGGGCATAAAAAAAAAACAATCTTTAAAAAGTCCAATTAATATATATATATATATTTTTTTTTTTTTTAATTGGTCTTTTTTGTCATTCTTTACTTGCCGATAAAAAAGTTGTTTGGCATGAATAAAAAAAAAAAAAAAAAAAAAAGAGTTAAAATAATAATTATTAATCAGTCTGATTGGGCTCCTAAAACAAACAACATTAAAAAAAAAGTAAATATTTTGTTAAATAAATTATATAAATGTGTTTATGTAAGTTATATAATAACCAACATCAGAAAACCTGTGAGTGTGTTAAATGACTGAAATACTAATTAAATCTCAGGAAGACTGACGGTTTGTCAGCGCTGAATCAGGAGCGTCTGACACACAGAGAGGCCCACAGACACTAGTTAGTGCAGGTGCAGACGTTCTCCAGTACCTTGAGTTGGCGGTTCTCGTCTAGCAGCTTCCCCACTTGCGTCTGCAGTCTCTTGCTCTCCTCCATGAGCTTCCTCATCTCAGTGTCGTCCATCGACAGACTGCCGGCTCTGGCTCCTGACGTGCCGTCGGCCCTCGAGGCGTTCAGAGCAGATGCTTTGGTCGACTCCAGCTCGCTCTGATCAGAACAGACACGTTACTGAAAGACCGCTGCTACTGTTGTCTGTTGTACTTTTTTTTACATGTTCCTTTGTTTATACACTTCCACCCCTCACACCCAGTCACACTTACACACACTCACTCTCACACACACACACTCACTCACTCACGCACGCACGCACGCACGCTCGCTCGCTCGCACGCACGCACGCTCGCTCGCTCGCACGCACGCACGCTCGCTCGCTCGCACGCACGCACGCTCGCTCGCTCGCACGCACGCACGCTCGCTCGCTCGCACGCACGCACGCTCGCTCGCTCGCACGCACGCACGCTCGCTCGCTCGCACGCACGCACGCTCGCTCGCTCGCACGCACGCACGCTCGCTCGCTCGCACGCACGCACGCTCGCTCGCTCGCACGCACGCACGCTCGCTCGCTCGCACGCACGCACGCTCGCTCGCTCGCACGCACGCACGCTCGCTCGCTCGCACGCACGCACGCTCGCTCGCTCGCACGCACGCACGCTCGCTCGCTCGCACGCACGCACGCTCGCTCGCTCGCACGCACGCACGCTCGCTCGCTCGCACGCACGCACGCTCGCTCGCTCGCACGCACGCACGCTCGCTCGCTCGCACGCACGCACGCTCGCTCGCTCGCACGCACGCACGCTCGCTCGCTCGCACGCACGCACGCTCGCTCGCTCGCACGCACGCACGCTCGCTCGCTCGCACGCACGCACGCTCGCTCGCTCGCACGCACGCACGCTCGCTCGCTCGCACGCACGCACGCTCGCTCGCTCGCACGCACGCACGCTCGCTCGCTCGCACGCACGCACGCTCGCTCGCTCGCACGCACGCACGCACTCACGCACTCACTCACGCACTCACTCACTCACGCACTCACGCACGCACTCACGCACAAACACACACGCACTCACAAACACACGCTCGCACACACTCACACGCTCGCACACACTCACACGCTCGCTCGCTCGCACTCTCACATACACACTCACTCACACACACACACAAATCACGTTGGCTGTCATGTATGTTTTGTTGACCTTGGTTATTTTGTATATATATTTTAAAAAAAAGAATGAGCGCTGGTGTGAGGTTTAGACAGCGATAAACACAGACTCACCATCTTCTCACTGTCTGAAGGCATGTCAAACACACAGCGCAGCTTGGAGTCCATCAGCTCGTCCGGTTTGACATCTTTCCACTGCAAATGATAAAACACAACATTACCAGGTTTGAATGAGGTCAGGCGCTCACACACGTCTCTCTCGGGCTCCTGCGCTCAAATATGGACGGATAAAAATAGTGTTCCCTGGATTTGGAGGATAATTGATTTCCGAGTCCATGTTTATTATTATAAAACGGATAGTTCCGATCCTTGATTCTGATTGGCTGAGCCGCGTTCGAAGCTGTTGTAAATGACTCTACAAAGTAACATACACCTTTGTTTACGTTTGTCTGTTGCTCGGCAACCACTTTGTAGCAACCACAACTGTTTCTGAGGAGCTACATTGTTTGGTGGAAGAACACTGTTTTTATTAATATCATTACACTTTATTTGCTCTGTTTTATTCTGTGAAACCGTACTACGTATATGGAATAACTCTGCATCGCGTCGTACCTAACTGTACTTTAATTCACTGTAAACCACGGCTTCACGGGGCTTATTGCTTTATTTAATAACAGCTGATTTAATATGGACTGTGATCTGAGATGAAGACGCAGATGTTTGTGTGCTGAATGTGTCATAAATGATGAACTTTGAAACACTGACTGTTATTGCTCTGAATAATAACTCTGTAGAGCTGCTTTACAGCTGGAACTGAATTAGTTTCATAACTGATGAATTTTACATTAACACTTATTTTCCTGTTTATTGCTGTGAAACTGCTTTGAAACGATCAGTATCTTATAAAGCGCTAAAAAGATATCTGGGCCTAAATTTAATAATTATTCGAACTGCATATAAAATTTGGATTACACAGTTTTAACATAAATGAATCAGGTCAGATTTCTGCACTCGGTTTAAGTAATTATGAACTATTTACATACATGTGTAATAATTCATTTATAATATTATAAATTATTTAAATATTCATATTTTTTTAATGCATTTATTCAGTAGAATCAGCATAAATCTGTTCATTGTGAAAACAGTTAAATTAATTCAGTTAAAAAGTACGCAAATGGTTAAATAGCTAGCTATGGAACAAGAGATGTTTAATTAGTTCAAATGTATGAGATTGAAACAAACTGGATTTATTGATGATAAATATATAAAACTATATATATATATATATATATATTTTTTTTTTTTTTTTTTTTCTCCCTTGATTTGCTGGCATGGGGGGTTGGGGGATTGTTCTCTAAAATGG